CCCACGTTAATCCCGAGTGACCTCTCCACGGCCCCCCCACTACCTCCAGTTCAGATCTCTATGGCATCATTTGATTCCAGGGCCTCCAAATCTGTCCTCGCTGACCTCTGTGTGACCCTCTCTACCTCCAGCCTTTTTCTCCATGACTCCCCCACCCCTCTTATTATTCCCTATCAAGCTTTTCATTAGTGATCTCTGTGTCTCTTGATAGCAGCCTTCAACTTCCTGAAGGGAGGTTCCAAAGAGGATGGAGAGAGGCTGTTCTCAGTAGTGACAGATGGCAGAACAAGGAGCAATGGTCTCAAGTTGTGGTGGGAGAGGTCCAGATTGGATATTAGGAAAAACTATTTTACTAGGAGGGTAGTGAAGCATTGGAATGGGTTACCTAGGGAAGTAGTGGAGGCTCCATCCCTAGAGGTGTTTAAATCTCGGCTTGACAAAGCCCTGGCCAGGTTGATTTAGATGGGATTGGTCCTGTCTAGAGTGGGGGGCTGGACTTGACGACCTTCTGAGGTCTCTTCCAGTTCTATGATTCTATGATAAGGGGATGGTTGGATGAAATAACATGATCTTGGTAACTAATTGACCATTCATTATCAGTTGGAAATAGGTCAATGGAGGGATGATAGGAGTTGCTATAGGGAACTTTCTGGGTGTCTGGCTGGTGAGTCTTGCCCACATGCTCAGGGTTTAGCGGATCGCCATATTTGGGGTCAGGAAGGAATTTTCCTCCAGGGTAGATTGGCAGAGGCCCTGGAGGGTTTTCGCCTTCCTTTGTAGCATTGGGCACAGATCACAGCTGAAGGACTCTCTGCATGTTGGGGCCTTCAAAGTATTTGAAGGCTTCAATATCTGAGACATAGGTGAGAGGATTATTCTAAGAGGGGTGGGCGAGATTCTGTGGCCTGCACTGTGCAGGGGGTCAGACTAGATGATCATAATGGTCCCTTCTGACCTTAACTCCGGCCTCACCCTTCTATGGCCTTTGGACACCTCTGCCCTTGTAACCTGTCATAAATGAGGCTAGTGAGGCAACGGTAACACAGTTGCCCTACTCCAGCTGCTGAGAAGGTGGATTTGATCCCACTGGAGGCTCCCTTAGTTCAAGGGACTCGCTCTTTTACCTCACAGCCACGGCTTGGAGAGGGGTGGCAAAGAACACAGGTATCCATCACGTGCCTTTTTGTGTGGAAAGCAAAGGTTCTAGCATTTGGGCTCAGAGCCCTGGCCGGAGACTCTGTGTGTCCTGCGATAGGCCACAAAGTTCCTTTGGCAGCCTGTTGCTCCTTTCTGATCATCTGGGGGGAAAGTAGGGGAGCATGCTCCTTGGGTGCTGATATGCCGGTGTTGTGGACGTGGCTTCCCAGGGTGGTCACTCAGGGACATTGGGCCTTCAGAGGGAGGTTAGGGAGAGAGGGGGTAAAAAAGGGAAGGTTGTGGGCTGGCTACCTTGAGGGAACTGGGGGAAAAGGTCCCTCCTTGCCCCAGTCTCTGGAGGGCAGAAGCATCCATCCTGCTGCTGTACCAGAGCAGGCTGGAGAATGCAGGTCTCGAACCTGCTGCCACTCACATGTCAAGGGAGTGTTCAACACTGGAGCGAATGCCCCAGGCTCTCAGGCAGCTCCCGCTGCTGCATGGTGGATAAGGCCAGAGCGAAGCAGCTTTCAACTCCAATAGGAGTTAACTCCCTCTTGGGGAAATATGGTGGGACACACTATTCAAGGGGATCCCATTAGACATGGGTATGGTCACTAGTTTGAGATGTAGACATCCCCCCCCATCGTGACCTAATCTGCCCTTCCTGTATAGATTAAATGCAGAACTCCCTATTCCAAGAGAGAACAGTAGCATTATATCAACAGGCCAAGGAGGGGTGGTACTCTTTCTGAGCACTTTGTTGGCCTACGGTAATGTCAGGAAATCCACTCAGGAAATCCTGGCAGCTTGCCAGGTGTACTATCTGCTTTCGCTAGATTGTTTTCCCCTCAGTGTGCTACCTTCCCGAGAAACAGACAGCGGCCCATTTATCAAGATGCTTATGTGAGAATTAATCTTATTAATATTCATGATCTATCCATCTGTTTAGAAGGGAAAAAACCCACAGTGTGAATTAGTTAACTTTACTTTTGATCCGGATGCATTTACACCAAGTTTGCAGCAGAAATCACAGGAGACTATGCAAAGCGAGAGCTATTCGAGAACTAGTTTAATACATTTAATGAAAAGTTTCAGTAACAGGACAACATTCAGTTGGAATGGGAACCCATACTACTACAAGCGTTACTCTTTTCATCTGATAAATGTCCCCTCTGATTACATCTTTGCTTCAGCAGAAGCCCTCTGCCTGCCTTATTTGAGTTATGTGCTATTACTTGCAGCTTGGTTGGCACTGCCTCGTGATCCAACGGTAGATTCCAGAAAGCGGTAGAAGAGCCTTGATTAAAAAGCAACTAGAAGGCAGACAATGGAGTGGAGGAGCTTAGTAGGAGAGGCTCCTTAGGAAAGAGGTTATCCTGGAGATGGGGCCACTTCAAAATTAACTATTGAATTAACCATAGCATCAAGTAATTCCAGCAGTTCCTAAGTGCTTGGCTCTCTTCCACATACCTGAGCTATGGGCTCATGTTTGACTCTTTAGTACAAACCAAAGAGGATTTCTAAATCTAGTCAGCTGTTTCCAGGCTCAGATCAGCCCAATTTACACAGCTCTGGAGGCACCGATGGTAAGAACAACATTTTAATAACATTTGACTAATGTGAAGGAACTGGACGAGTGATTCTGGAGGAAAAGCGCCGTGCTCACATCTCTTCCTCATTGATGGGACGCTTCAAAACCAGAATGCTATGAATATTGAAACAGAAAATGGAAGAATTAACATGTTTGTCCAACAACGCTCCACACACATCCAGGTATACTTCATAGACAGAAATCATGTCCTGTCTATGCAGAGAGAACAATTGTCTGTATGCTCACCTTGGATATCTGTTATGACAAGCGAAAGCCCTTTATCCTCCTTCAATTATTTTCATAATTCCATTCTGTTGCCTATGCAACATGTAAAATGCTGGCCGAGACCTAGAGAGGTAACCCTTATCAAGAGAATAAGAATAATTTCCCCCAAATCTTCATGTGAACTGTATTGTCAAATTTTCAGACTTAAGTGTAAAGTTAGGCACCTAAATTAAGTATTTAGGCTCTTAACTAAATTGCCTGATTTTCAGAGTTTCCAGGCACTCATAAAAAGTGTATATAGAATTCTCAGTTAATTCTCAGAGTTTCCTTTCTAAGACAGATGGACCTAAGTCATGAGATTCAGATCTTGCTCTCAGGTTTCTTCAAGTTTCAGGACTCACTAGATTCAGGATTCATGTTTAACATCCTTATACAGAGAGACACAAGCTGCAGATACAAACATTCTGAAAGTTTCTGGGGGAAAAAAGGAGTCTTGGTCAGTTTCCATTTTGACTCGCTCTTATCTTTCACAAAAACTGGTCAAAAATATCAGAATCTCTCTCTGGAAATACCTCCATCAGCCTGCGTCATGATATTATCATGTAGACAAATCAATAAAATATCTCACCTTTCCCCTGCCCACAATAGTTAAAATCCATGAAGGATTCAATCAAAAGGGATAGCGTCAGTTATTAATGCATCCATGTGACATTTCTTGTTCATGGAATCAGCCATAAGTGAAGAGAAAGAATCCTTCAATTTTCACCAAGAAAAAAAAAAAAAAAAGAAAAGAGAAAAGATGGAGAGCAGCAGCCTATCAGTAGAAGGTGCCACCCAGAGTGATAGCACATTCTGCTCTGACTCAGTCCATATCTATAGTTATGCTGAAGGACATTACCACAGGAGAAATCAGTAGACTGCTATTTGGTTTTACCGTACCTTTGCCAATACTCTATACCACCTTACTTGATTCCAGAGATGATACCACCTTTGGTGATGTAGTCCTTCAAATTGTCTTGGTCTTACCCCCTCAGAATCCACCTACACACTGGGTTACTGCTTGGGAGTTTCCTATGGTGAAATAATCCATAGGGATATATACCTGAAGAAGGAAAGATTATTTACCTTACCATAACACGAACTCTTCGAGATGTTTTGTCCTTATTGGAGCTCTACTTCCCCACTTCCTTTTCTTCTAATGAGGAGTATCTGGCTTTGCAGACCAGACAGAGGCCAGGTCTACACTAGACCTGGAAGGTTGGTTGAAAGTGCGCAACTCCAGTTCTGTAGAATATGTAGCTGGAGTTGGCTTACCTGAGGCGGAGTTTGCACCGTCCTCACAGAAAGAGGCCAACAAGAGCGAATGCTCCCGTCAGCTTCCCTTACTCCTCGTGACTGTGAAGAGTACAGGTGCCAGCCAGACTGTTCCTCGGTGTTGGATTTACGAGTCTATATTAGACTCACTACTATGCAGTCTCCAAAGTGGTGCACACCCTCCGGTGGAACACTCTCCTTCACTGTTATTAATCAACAGGACAGACACACAAATGGGACTAAAGAGGATTAGCAGTAGAGGCCACAGTTCCCAAAGCACAGCCTGCACAAGGCATCTCTGCTCAGCTATCCATCGGGCCCCTCACTTCTCAGGTAAAAATGGCCAATGTTCAAAGAGGAATTGTTTTCAGCCTCATAGCTATTTTTAATACAATGAAAAATAATTACATTAATTTTGTATTATCTGCTCTCAATTCCTATAATTGAAATGGTGAACAGTGGGAAAAAAAAGACACAAATCTTCCTAAAACGCAACAAAGGAAAGTTAAAATTATTAATGAAGACGAAGGGTTTAATTTCATTTTGCTTTTATTATAAAAGTAAAATAAAAATAAGCATTTAAAAAGCACAAATGTCCTCTTTAAAAGGAATTGCTCTAAAAAGAATATTTACAATAGTAAATGCCAAACTTGTTAAGGCTTTGAATGATTGTAGCCACCACAGTTAAATTTAAATACATTCACTGAAATATACATGATCTCTTTTTGTAGGGTTTTTTTTTTAATTGCGACAATGACTACTTTGAGAAAACCACAATTTGTCTTTAACATCAGAGGAATCCTTTTAACAGTTTTATGTGCTCTCCTTTCCATGTAACTGTGCTGTAAAACTGGGGAATGGGTAGCTAGAAGATGCATCCTCTGATTGTTCTGTGTGCAGTACATCTTTTATGAGAGGTGAGTTGGTATTCAACATTAATAAGAAGTAGCAATGTCCATCCATACAGAGAATTCTGGCAACCAGAAAAAGGCACATCATCCAGTTCTATACATTAGACAGCACTGGTTACTGGTTCTGGTTACACTAGACAGCTTGTAAAGGAACACAAGTAAAGGTATTTAAGAAACAAAAAAGAAGCAATGTTCACAAATCCTTCAAATCTTGTACACGTCAGACAGATGTTTTCCAGTGCACTTCTGGCTGTACGATCGCTTCTGCTGGACAGAATTATACAGACATAATTTTAACTGTCATTTAAGTTCATATAATTGCATGTTGCTAACTGGTTACATTTTGCCTTAAACTGAGCCTTTTTGTCCATATCCCAGGGTCATTTTGCTAAGTGTTATTGATGATACTGGGAAGTGACTCAGAATAAGTGACGCTAAGTCTGCGGAAGGAAGTCTCCACGCCGCTATCACACATGCTTTCATTGTCTTGTAATTTTACATTATAAAGTTCACCTGAGAAAGAAAACAGAAAAGAAAACACATTAGTTTTTCATCCTGCACTAGAACATTATAAGCTAGTCTGTGCTTTACAAGTGCTTTTGTCTGTTGGAGTATATTTCCCATGGCTGTTTGGGACATTCAATCAAAATCTTTGGGGTTAGTACTGCAGTATGAAGGTACTGGTTGTTTTCACTTAGGAACTGACCAACAACTACTTACTTTAATGGCTATTCTATCACACTATGCTGATTGAATCTGCAGGGGTGTGTAATGCCAAAAATGGTGTATCGATGAGGGTAGGAAGGATAGGGTTAGACACCTGATATTTAAATTCAATCCCATGCAGATAAACTAGCAGTCATATCGATCCATAACATTTACTACTATCCTTAAACTAAGGTAAGGCCGGTAGGAGTGTGCTAAGTAGCAGGATAAAGGCCTTTTGCACGTTAGATGTGCAAACTGCTGCTGAACGATAGTTGAGATCTCTTTGCTTTAAAGACATCTTTACATGAAAGAACAAAGAATGGATTGTCAAATAGGTTAAATAATTGGCATCTACTTAAAGTGAGCATGAAATCCGTAAAGTTCAGCAACAGCTGCCTTCCATGCAAGATCTGCAAAGGAATAACTGATTGCTGTGTAAGATACGTGGTCTTCTGTTGAAGGTGCTTATGGCTCAGAGACCCACCATCATTATAAAGAGGGCAAAAAAGCTTGATGTGATTGAAACGGATAATTCAGCACTGCAGAATTTTTAAGATGTGAAACTACTCTTTAAAACACACTTTCAAATACATGAATGAGGAATCGGTTATTAATGTGGCTAAGCTCTTTCACTGGTGGTGCTGACAAATTAGATTTATTATTGTGGATATTGTATTCTTCAGGAATATAGAGAGAATACTCTCATGCTTTTCTATAGCCCATACACAGGCATGCATCTACATGGAATAGCACTATAAAATGTAAACTGGCAAAGGTAATGGAAGTGACACTTGACTGGTTTCATCTCACATCTCAATATAAACAGTATGGCTACGTCTACACTGGCATGATTTTCCGGAAATGCTTTTAACAGAAAAGTTTTCTGTTAAAAGCATTTTCGGAAAAGCACGTCTAGATTGGCAGGATGCTTTTCCGCTAAAGCACTTTTTGCAGAAAAGCGTCCGTGGCCAATCTAGACCCGGTTTTCCGCAAAAAAGCCCCAATCGCCATTTTCGCGATCGGGGCTTTTTTGCGGAAAACAGTACTATGCTGTCTACACTGGCCCTTTTGCGCAAAAGTCTTTCGGAAAAAGACTTTTGCCCGAATGGGAGCAGCATAGTATTTCCAGAAAAGCACTGACAATCTTACATGAGATCGTCAGAGCTTTTCCGGAAATTCAAGCGGCCAGTGTAGACAGCTGGCAAGTTTTTCCGCAAAAGCAGATGATTTTGCGGAAAAACTTGCCTGTCTAGACACAGCCTATGTGGGCTATGGTGACATTTTTGGTCAGTGAACAAAGGACTAGACTGGGCATCAGAAAACTTTGGTTTCATTCTTTGTTCTGAAATTGACTCACTAGGTGACCATAGACAACTCATGTGACCTCCATACCTCTATTTCCCTATTGGTAAGATGGGGATAATTGGCATTACCCACCTCTTATATAGCATTTGAAATCTATAGATGACAAGTGCTGTAGAAATGGCAACTATTTTAATTGTAATAATAAGCTGTATAGCCTAATTACTTTGACGAGCAGTTAATGAGGACAAAATACTGAAGTCCACTCAAGATCACAGGAAAAGCCTTGTAAAAGACAATAGAAGGATTTTGTAGAATTCCAGGAGAGGTTGGACAATGCTGTGATGGCGTGGATATTCAGTCGTGAGCAAATGAGACTGAGTAGTCCCTTGCTGCTGGCAAATATGCATTAATACTGATGACATGGCAATTGTCTATTTTTAGAAAACAGACTAAAATAATTATTGCCATAAATCATTGGTATACATTCAACTTCCATTCATTTCCCACTACTGGTAGGCCTGGCAAGTCTAAAATGAGAAATATTTACATATTTCAGTACTTCCCAGACAGGGAACTGAGTAGGGCTACTCTGTGTAAAGGCAGCTGGATTGAAATGTATCAGAATCACATGAAACTTGCTGGGAAATACTTTTGAAGGCACATCATCCATTCCTATCTAGTTTACCTGTCTCTTCTTTGATGGCAAAGGCAGACGGGGATGATGGGGGAGCCTTCACAACAATATCCTCATTGTTAGACTGGCTTAATGACATGGAGAGAGCTTTCTGAATTATTTCAATTGCTTCTGTGTAATCCATTAGTCTCAAGGCATCAACCAACTCTTTCACCGTACCACCAGAAACCTATGACAGAACACAAAGGTAGGTCATATACATATCACTGTGGCAGATTTGTTACAAAATAAAAGGTGGCACTCTCTGCTCATGCAGAAGAACATTTTGAGGGCAGCTGCATGTGCCGCTCATGACCATGGTCCTTTAGAACACCTGTTAAAAAAAATTACCTCATAGTTATCCAGCAGAGTTTTGGCTGGGATAGGACTCAACCTGAAGGCATTACTGAGTATTCCCAGGCCCAACTTGTGTGCCAGTGTATACCAGTTTTTGTCTGGGTCAGGTACTTCTAGTAATTTGTAAAGCTGCAGCTTGGAGTCTTCATTCAATTTTTTCATATCGCCTGTTGAACGAAAGACATAAACAGGTGTCTGGTTTTATACATACAATAAAACTTGGTTTATTTAACCAGAGTTACATTCTTGCCTCCCAAGCAGAAGCAAACTATTTAATTAAAAAGTGATTGGCACACATGTGAGTGTTTACTCAATATATTTACTTGCACTGTAGCATAACAGTGAACACGTGGACTTTGGCTTGTCATAATTCTAAAGTGACAAATAACATACAAGTATAAAAAGAACCATATTTATTCTACTAGCTGTGGCACTTCTAACATATGGTTTGTGACACTGGCAGATGAGGTGCCAGCTCTTGCCAAGGGTTTAAGTGTCAGCTGAGTACTGACTAATTCATTGCTGGAAACCAGGATGTTTCACCTTTGTGTTAGCATGGTTAAGATGGATTTTACATTTATAACAATGTGTTTAGACTTTATGAATTGCTTTTAAGTTGCTGAATGCATCCATCTAACTTACAATATCCTAACTTACAAGAGCATTATCACAAGCTACAAGGTAATACTTACATTTTTGCTTTTGGCCTGTAAAAAATGTTGCTCTGAAACTATGAACCTAGTCAGTAGGGACTGTCTTCTAACTATCAAGTAGGCCTATAAAAATTAACTGTTACCTGGGAGCAGCCCCCCTCCCTCACCCACTGACCCAGAGGGCTGCTCTAGCCCTGTGAGGCTGTAGTCTCCCAGTTTGTGTGGGCTGAAAACGGAAGTGGCAGTGATGGGGGGTGGGTGGGTGGGGCTGCTGCTTCCAGCCCTATGTAAAACTGCCAACTCTCCGCCTGCATGGGCTGGAAGCTGGCAACCCAGTATGAGGCCAGAGCAGCCAGGTTGGAGAAGCCCCTGCTCATGGGTTTAATCAGTTAACCCCTTTAATTAGTTAAGCAGTTAAACATTAACTTTAACAGGATTTAACATCCCTACTTGTGAGATATCACAATAGAGGGACTTTGTTAACTGCATGAAAATGCTACATACAAAAGGACTCATCCCACCAGCCTGAATTCTGGAAGAAGGAAATTAAAATAGCTAACAAAATGTTTTGCTGTTTGGACTCTCACAGAGCTGGAGCTACGAAACAGAAGCAGAGCCAATCTGGGTTAGACCTGCAAGACATTTACAGCTGACAGATTACTATAACTCCATCACTTTTTAAAACCATAAACTGCAATCCATTTGTGTACATATGTTTGCCTTCTTCAGCCCTGCAATAACTCTTTTTCCTCCTTAATACATCTTTAATTAGTTTATCACAGGATCCGCTACAAGCATGGTCTTTGGTGAGAGCTCTAAGGTACAATTTGACCTGGAGAAAGTGAAGGTCTTGTGCATCTGAAAGCAACCAGACTATTTTGTGATCTTTAGTATATAGCAATCAACTACTACAAAATCCAGCTTGCCTGCTACAGGAGTAATATCTTTGTCAAGAAGCAGGGCAGAGACTAAAAACTGATGGTATATTCTAGAATTTCATCAATCTGGTAACAGTCTGCCCCGAGTTGGCACTCACGGTCGTGAGCCACTTCAGCTTGTAACATAAATAGCCATGTCATGCTGTCTGAAGGAGGTGGGGAGAGGTTCTCCTCTGTCCTGAGCATATTGTCAGTACTCATTGATTAATAAATGGGTATTTTTGGAGCTTTTCTTTTTTGTAAATACTCTACCTTGCATCAGTAAGTCATCGGAAGCCAACTTTGATTCATAGGGTTTGCCATTTAATATGTCGAATACCTGTAGAGTGAGGAAAGGATTAGCCATTAATACCAACATCTGGCAGAAACTTGGTCTTCATCCTACAATCCTGTCCAATCCAACCGTATTGTTTACACTGCTCTGTATGTTCCGCACTGTGTGTATTAATTGATCAGCTACACATTTCTATCTTGCGGCAGGGGCAGCAGAATTAAAAGAGCTGCAGAGGAGTGATGTCCCTGCCCAAGTGGGAAGTGGAGAGATATTGCCTTCTGTTGCTCTTGAAGTAGCTCATCTGGCAAATACTATGCCCAAGGTTCAGAGATTCTTTAAGGGACATGGAAAATCCTCAAAGCAAAGAGCAAGGTAACCTGCACCCTAGAGAACTAATAATTTAAAACAAAAATAGTGCCTCAAATTTTCAAACCCCTACAGTTAGGCTCCTAAACCCATATTTAAGCACCAAATATGGTGGCTAGATTATCAGAGGTACTGAATACCTACATCTTCCACTGAGGTCGACGAGTCTGTCTATAGTGCAATCATACCTCCTGGCTGTATTTAAACAATCACACCCACTGAATATCCCAATGTAATACCCAAAGAGAACTACAGGTGCTCATCATAATTGAAAAATCAGGCCCACTCATTCAGTTGCCAACATATAGATTTAGGGGTTTAACTTAAGAGAGCCCAGTTTGAAAATCTGGGGGTTATTTAAAGTTTTAAAAGGGGATAATATAAAGGGTGTGCATGAAGAACTCATGATAAAAATAACCATAAAAAGGTGTCCCGTATGGATACTAGGGATGGATACTGATAGCCTGAAAAGGATGCATAATGAATTGGAATACACGATCCTTTCAGTCAAACTCTATATTCTTTTCTTCAGCCTGAAGTCTCAAGTGTGATCGTTTGAAGAATTTGCAGTCTACTAATATTCTTACTGACTGAAGCCCATTTAACTTAATTTGTCCATTTCCTAGCCCCTTCCAAGCTAAACCGAGAGCACTCCAGGCACAGGGACTGCACAGCAGCCTGCAACAGTGACAAGTTACAAGCAGGGATCTTACAAAACAGAACATAAACTCTGCTACAGTTGACACAGTCAAAGAGTGGCCCCAAGAGCTGTGATTTGTAAAAACTTCAGTGCTTTGGATTTTCATAGTGAACAAAGTCTTCAATGGATGTGACTGTAGAACTGTGCCACTCTGAGTCAATAACGTACCTTCATCTTCACATTAAAATAAAAAAAGGGTTTGCGGGTTTGTTCAAATAATTGACAAGACAACCAGATCACTTGCCTCCCAACTGGAGGCCATATCCAAAGGTGTTGTTCCAGGTACGATTCCTTCATCATCACTGTCTTTGTTTCTCACATCTTCTAAGTCAAATAATGGCTCAAAGTTCTCAATGTAAGGATCTGCACCTGGAGAATTACAGAGCACGGTTATAGGTTTTCCAAAGACTTCACTCTATTGCATCGTACTCAACTATGCCATCCTATTTCACATTTGGGGGAGGTTGGAAGGTCTCATTACACATCCTTGTACAACACGCATTAGCCTGGGTTCCTTTTACTTATATAATTTGTCTCCAGATTTTAAACTTTCGTACACACCAGTAGATTAGCTGGGACCCTTCTGAGCACAAGATCTGGAATTCAGATAAGCAATCTAAAAGTGCTTATGCTAATCCCAACTTTTATAGGTTCTAACTCCTGCTTACCTTTTCCATTCTCATTTTTTGAAGAAAATGGATGAATTAAGAATAGAGGAAGAGGTTCAGGATTTTGTTTTTAACAACATACATTCTAAAGTTTAAATGGAAAATGTGCTATTTCGTACATCGTTGATGAAGTGATACAACCAAAATAAATAAATATATTTTATACAAATATAACACCAAAGAGCATTTTCCACCTCCAGAATGCTTTGCAAATATAAGCTAAAAAGGTAAGCCTTACAACATACATGTGAGGAAAATATTATCCCTGCTATACAGATGGGGAAAAAGGGAGAAAAATGGAGGCAGACAGGTTAAACACTTTGTCCAAGGCCACACAAAAAGTCAGGATCTAATAAGAGCTAGAGTAAAAACTTGGGAGTTCTTGGCTTCCAAATCATGAGCTCAGACAACAAAAAAATTGATGTGTCTATGGTGAATTAGTGTATAGTGAGAAATCTAATACCACCATCAGACAGAAAAGTTAAAGGATGGTATGCAGTGAGTGCTGTCTTACTCTTGAACACATACATGGCAATGGGAGGTTTGGATTTTTATCCCAAAAGCCAGACACAGCTGTAACACTGGCCTTGCTAGAAATCTGAGATGAGGCAGAGAGAAGTACAGAATGCCCAACTGAATGCTCATATCTAAGGAGAAAGGTAGAAAAATCAAAACTGGTAAGATCCCTAAACACCAAAAGAGCGCCATTCTTCAGGCTGCTCAAAGAAAAAGAGAAGGTGGTGAGAGTCCAGTGATCTCATTGTTTCCTTAAAGCATCCCAGTAGCAAACTAAGACATTCAGGGAAAAATCTCCTCAGACACAAAACGCTACATACAAAACACAGCTCAGAAGCTCAGGAGAGACTAGGGCTTTGAACCAACCTGCAAGGCTGTTCCAGGCCCTGCCCCTTAGCGCGTTGCCTGGGAGCCAGGGCCACACAAGCTCTTTCAACTGCTTCTATTAAAAAAGGTTTGTGCCTTCCCCGCAGGTGGAAGGCAACAGCCTCAGGGAATGCGTGAACCCTTTCAATAGAAGCAGCTGAAAGGGCTTGCGTGTCCCTGGCTCCCAGGCAACATCCTAGCAGTAAGGCTGGGAGCGGGGAGCCCCTTAAATAGCAGGAATTAAAAGGGCTTGCAGCTTTCGTCTCCGGCTAACGTGATGCCCAAGAGCTGCAGGGGAAGCGCAAGGCCTTTCATCTCCTGCTATTTAAGGCCCCGCCCTTCTGTTTGCTGCCCCTTCTGGGGTGGTCCGCAACCTCTTCAAAAAATTTTCAAGTGGTCCCCTGCTCAAAAATTATTGTCCACCCCTGTTCTAATACCTCTCTTACCTGCTGCTTTGAGAAGTGCTGTCAGTTTTGTAGACCCCCTTCCAGCTGCTATGTGAAGTGGAGTTGTCCCATCATAAGTTGTACTATCAACATCTGCATCACCCTAAAATTTTATTGAGGGAGGTGGGAAAAAAGCATAAACATGATAACCAGGCAAATTAGCACCTTTATCCCAACACACACAAAACTTTTAATCATGGCCTAAACAAAAGGTGCTGGAAAAAATATAATGAACATAAGAACAGCCCTACTGGGTCAGACCAAAGATCTATCTGTTCAAGTCTTCTGTCTTTTGACAGTGTCCAACAAGTGCCCCAGAGAGAACGAATAGAACAGGTAATCATCAAGTGATCCATTGTGTCACTCATTCCCAGATTCCGGCAAACAAGAACACTATCCCTGCCCTTTCTGGCTAACAGCTATTGACGGCTCTATCCTCCATGAATTTAATTTTTTCTTGAATCCTGTTATAGACTTTGTAAAAGCAGGCTCTTTTCTGGCCAGGCCTCGTGCGCATAGCCTTCCTAGCCCAAGATTACCTTCCCCTCAAACCAAAAACCCTCCATTATGTGACTTAGGATCAGTAAAAACCAGGAGTAAAACACCAGGCAGGTAAGGGTCATGCAAAGTTCGCGCCAGTCAAGGGCCATCTCCCCCCCCCTTTCCTTCCCCCTCAGCCTGTCACTAGGCAGACAGAATCTGTTAAGCCTATCACAACTAAGCGCGGGAAAGCTCTTGCTCTCTCTATAAAGCAGCTACCCCTCCTGCAGGCAGTAGAGGGTTCCCAAAAATTTGGAAGGCAGAACACGAGCCAGGTTCTGAGGGCTGATCACCCGAGGGCCCCCTCCCGCTCACCGAATCTACTGAATCTTCCGCAGAGCGTATGAATAACGAATATGCTGTTGTCTCTGTTGTCCCTTGTATGTCTGATAAGTGTGAGTATTGCTGTGTAAAGTTAGTTAAAGGTTTGATAAATAATAGTGTTAAGAGTAAGTTAGTTAGAAGTTTGTTAAATAGTACAGTTAGGAGTTTAGATAGATGTCAGACCTTATGAGTAAAATTAATGTAAATATAACTGATAAAAATCCCTGAGGTGTTATTGATAATTACTGAGACTTGGAAAAACCTCAGGGTATTTTCCTCTATTGTATTGCAGTTTGTTTATTGTTACTGTTAATAGTTATCTGGTGCCCACGCATGTAAAAAGCTGATAAATAAAAAGTTATAGTTAAAAGCATTTTAATAAAAGTTAAAAGATATTCAGAACAAGGTTGCCTGTTTCTGCACCTCTTTGGGGCTAGCCACATTCTCGAACCTTCCATTTTACGTCAACAGACTTGACCCTTGCAACAGCCTCTAGCAAAGAATTCCACAAGTTAATTGTGCATTGTGTGAAGAAATACTTCCTTTGTTTGTCGAAACCTGATATTTATTAGTTTCATTTGGTAGCTCCTAGTTCTTGTGTTATGAGAAGCAATAAATAACACTTCCTTATTTACTTTCTCCTAATCAGGCTTGATTTTACAGACCTCTAGCACAAGAACTGTCTCTTTTCCAAGCTGAAAGGGTGTGTCTAGACTACACGGCTCTGTCAACAGAGCCATGTAAAGTAGTTTACTCGGCATAGTCAATGAAGCGGGGAGTTAAATAATCCCCGCTTCATTAAAATAAAAATGGCTGCCACGCTGTGCCGACAATCAGCTGATCCGGCAAAGTGAGACAGTCCAGACACAGTGCGGTCGACAAGGGAAGCCTTTGTCGACCGCTCCGGTATGCCTCACTTCCCTTGTCAACCGTGCTGCGTCTAGACTGCTGCGCTGTGCCGGATCAGCTGATTGTTGACACAGCACGGTGGCCATTTTTATTTTAATGAAGCGAGGATTATTTAAATCTCCGTTTCATCGACTATGCCGAGTAAACTACTTTACATGGCTCTGTCGACGGAGCTGTGTAGTCTAGACGTACCCAAAATTCCCAATCTTACTAACCTCTCCTGATACACCCAATCATTTTTGTTGCCCTTTTCTGATCCGTTTCCAATTTCAATGTATATTTTTTGAGATGGGGTGACCACATCTACACACAGTATTCAATGAAAAAATTATGTCAAGGTGGTTTTTAGGTGCTCAGCTATTACAATGATATATGCACAGTATATAATCCAAGAACGAGCAGATAGTTATAATAGGTTATTAAGAAATCTAAACTTTGTTCCCATATGATTTTTCTATGATGGGTCCAAACTAGGGATGTAATAGTGTAGTCAATTAACCAATAAGCAAAAGCTTATCAGTTAATGCCATCGATTACAAGCATTCTCCTCTCTTCCCACCGCCAGTAAATTTTTTAGCAGGCTGGCCAGCAGCCTGGCTCAGTCCTGGCTTGCACTGGGTGTGGGGCTTCCCCCTGCTGCGGCTCTGTATTTAAAGCATATTAGGAGCCAGGTGGGCAAGCAGCTCACCCCAATTCCAGTTTGCACCAGGTCCAAGATCTCAGACCCTGCTGTAGTGTAAATGCAGGAGATGATTGTGAGATCGAGGAAATTAGTTTGTGTACAACAATTGTTCCTTTTGTGCTTGCATTTTCCTAAAGGCCTGGATGCCCTAGGCAGCCATTTGTGCTTTTTGCTTCTTATTATTCTCTTATTATTCTCAAAGAGTTAGCTGTTTGCTTAAGATGGTACAGTGTAGGAATGCAGTGTTTACTTTCAACAAGTTCTGGGACAGGTCCCAGGGCCATCCACCTGGTATGGGAGTGTTTGGGATGATCACATAGTTATCGCCATATAATCACATAGTTATGTTGAACGTTTACCACCTGTTAAAGCTAAGTATTTGGCCTGGGAAAATATCTGATATATTAGTAATTTTGCCAGTTTCTCAAAACAATTGATGTGAGTGATGTAGATCCTACAGTATATAAGTGCCGGAGATATTCCTAACATTGGAACCTCAGTGTAGACTAAAGCTGCGGGAGTTGCTACGTACTGGCCCCTGGGGTCCGTCGGCAAAACCAGTTTTGGCCACATGGCACTCACCTCAAGCAGAAGGCAACCAGCCAAAGAGATGTTTTCTTGTTCGACAGCCAGATGCAATGCAGTTCGCCCAGATTTTTGTTCCTGAGCATTGATGTCAGCTCTAGCAGCAATCATGTGCCTGAGACAAGGCATGCTATTTGCCATCACTGCCATGTGAATAACACTGAGACCTACAAAACAAAATATGCATGAACATTGACAAATACAGAAATATTGTGCTAATGAGTTTTTATAACATTTCATCTAAATACACATAAAATGAATCTACATAAAATATGTTTTTGTTATTCTTTCTTCTGTGTGTGTGAGAGAGAGGGGAAAAAGTGGAAGACTATGAGCAATGAAGATAGCTATTAAAGGCACTCACACAAAGATTTGTATCCACCTGTTTAACATATTTTAAAAATTAGAACATAAGAACAGCCATACTAGGTCTAATCAATGGTCCCTTTATCCCAGTATCATATCTGCCAAATTCTTCAGACAGAATGAACATAAGGCAATTTATTGAGTGATTGACCCCTTTCGTCTCAGAATGAGAGGTTTAGGGACACCCATAGCAAGGGGTTGTGTCCTTGACTATCTTGGCTAAAAGACACTGATTGCATTGTCCTCCATGAACTTACCTAATTCTTTTCTGAACCCAGTTATACTTTTGGCCTTCACAACATCCCACTGCAACTGTCCCTTTGTGTGAAAAAGTACTTTCTTTTGTTCGTTATAAATCTGTTTCCCATTAATTTCCCTGGGTGAGCCTTGATTCCTGTATTATGTGAAGGGATAAATACCTTTTCCTTGTTCACTTTCTCCAGTCATAATTTCATAGACATTTATCATATCCTTCTTTGGCTGTTTCCTTTCTAAGATGAACAGTCCCAGTCTTTTAAATGTTTCCTCACATTGATGCTGTTCCATACCCCAATTATTTGTATTGTCCTTTTCTGTACTTTATACAATTCTAATATATCTTTTTAGACATGGGGTGACTAGAACTAGCATCCAAGGTGAGGGTGTGCCATGGCTTTATAGTATGGCCTTATGATACCTGCTGTCTTATTATATATTCCTTTCTTAATGGGTCCTAATATTCTGTCCGCTTTTTTGATAGTATTACATTAGCTATCTTCTAGTCATCCATACAGAGGGTGTTAAGCAATAGGTTCTATACCATAGTTAGCAGTTCTTTAATTGCATAATTGAGTTCCTTCAAAACTCTTGGATGAAAACCTCTTGGGCCGGGTGATTTATTATTATTTAATTTATCAATTTGATCCAAAACCTCCCTTACTGACACTTCAAACTGGGACAGTTCTTCAGATCTGTCACTAAAAAAGACTGGCTCATGTGTGGGAATCTCCCTCACATCTTCTGCAGTGAAGATGAATGCAAAGAATTCATTCAGATTTTCTGCAATGGCCTTGACTTTTTTGAGTGCTCTTTTAGCATCTCAATTGTCCAGTGGTCCCACTTAAGTAGGTACTTAAGTAAAATATTTGCTATATGTTTTTGTGTCTTTTGCTAATTAATCTTTATTTTGTTTTGCCTAATTATATTACATTTGATTAGCCAAAGTTTATATTTCTTTACATTTTCCTCAATAGGATTTGTCTTCCAATGTTCAGAAGATGTCTTTTTATCTCCTTTTACTGTGTTGTGGTAGTTGATTGCTATATACTTGAAGATCTCTGTCTTGTCACAAACCAATTCTACTAGCCAGATACAGAAAAGCACTGGAATTAGAGTTCATCTGCCAATTCAGTTCTCATGCTAATGGACTCAGTCGTGACGAAGGATGGTTGGGACACTATCAACCTAATAGTCAATGAAGGTGCAAACAGCTGTCTGTGTAGTTTCCTATGTCAGGAAGGATACAATCAATTGACTTTGATTCTAATATGCTTCGTTTTAACTTCCCAATCTTCAGATACTTACTGATTCCCTCTACCTTCCTGATTTTCTATACCCTCTGCTCTTTGTCTCCCACCCCCTCCTTATTTTTCCTCCCTCCCCCCCTTCTCTCCCATTTATTTTGCATCTGCACATCCTCAACTCAAAACTCTAGTCACCTGAAGAAGTGGGCTGTGCCCACAAAAGCTAATGATGCCATCTACATGTTTTGTTAGTCTATCAATTGCTACCAGACCATTTGTTGTATATTATGGTTAGGTTCAGGTATAGTCACTCCTGGACTAGATCCTGTGCACCACTTGGGACTCAATCAAGAATGGTCTCTCCCCCCTTGTGGATACCAAGGCTCTAAAAGCAGTCATAATGGTGCCTATAAATGTTATATCTGGTTCCCTAGAACTTCTTCTAGTTCAGGACAGATTGTCTTGGCAGCAAACCACGGTACAGGATCTTAATTGTTTTGAGAGTCAGCGTATCCAGGCATTACAGGAAAAGCATAGGATCCGAAAAGAATGTACAATGCCTGCAGTGGGTGGTTTTTTATGTGACATCTGTAATCAGCTCTGCCGATCAAGGATTGGTTTAGTCACTCATCAATGGCATCACAGAAGATGAGATCTGTCGATCAGTGGCTCAATCCAAGAAGAAGAAGAAGAAGAAGATCTGTCCCCATACTAAGATTACATGTTCCAAGTAAATATGGAGACAGTTGAAATCTCCCATTATTTCTTGGGTTTTCTGTTTTTTTGTAACTTCCTTCCTCTTCCTCCCCATCTCCCTGAGCATTTCACCATTCTGTTCAGGTGATCAATAGTATATATTCTTACTGTTTATACTCTTCTTACACAAACATGGAAGTTCTATCCATAAAGATTCTATGGTATGGTTTGATTCATTTGAGGTTTTTACTATTTTTGACTCTGCTTTCTTTCACACAGAATGCCTCAACCAGGGCAACCTATTGTGTCATTCTATATATTTTGTACCTTGGTATAACTGTATCACATCCATTTTCATCATTCTACCAAGTTTCTGTGAGGTTTTTATATAAATATCCTCATTTAATACTAGGCACTCAAGTTCACCCTTCCCAGTAGCTCGACTTTTTGCATTTGTATAGAATAATGTATAAAAATTTTTTCAATATTTAATTTTCCACCTTCATATGACTTGATTAAGTAGGACTCTTTTTTGTTTGACTGTTTCTCTCCAGTTCCCAGCTGTAATTTATCAACTACTATCACCTTCTCTTTACTAAGGTACAGAGTATCCTCTTTACTAAATTCTCCCCTAAAGGATATGTCTGTCTCAACTGTGTGTTCCTCCAAATCTGTTGGTTTTCCTCTAGCCCTTAATTTAAAAACAGCTCTATGACCTTTTTATTTTTACATGCCAACACTCTGGTTCAATTTTTGTTTAGGTGGAGCCCATCCTTCCTATATAGGCTCCTCCTTTCCCAAAAGACTCTCCAGTTCCTACTAAAGCCAAATTCCCTCTTTCAAACACTATCATCTCCTCCACACACTGAAATCCTTAAATTCTGGCTGGTAACAGGCTTTGTTTGTTGAACTGGAAGCACAATTGACCTGCTTGTCAACTAGCTAATATGAAATATCACTATGATCCATCCATACCTTCCCCATTTGAAAGGTTGATCATTGGAGAGGTCTTCTCATGCTTAAGGAGTATATTTAAAGTCTTGTCATCTCCTTCTTTGGCAGCTAGGTGCAAGACAGAATTACCATGTCGATCCAGAAGGCTGACATCAGCTCCAGCCATGAGCAAGTGCTCTACCACATCTGTCTGCTTTGTGATAACTGCCAAGTGCAAAGGTGTCTAGAAAAGCCAGAGAGAAGTCATAAGGAAGTGAGCAACATATATATCATTTCCACAGAAGCCACTTAAAAATTAGTCACAGGGGTCCAGAATTGTAATGTTTTATTCTTACATGAAAAAGGTACTAAGCAAATTGAAATGCTAGATGCAAACTAGCATATATTTCCTTCTACTGAACTGTGAACATGATTCATACTTGTACCTAAAGGACGTAAAACCTCCATAGCTCAGAATCAGCATTCAGTGAAGTCAATGGGAGCTATGGGTGTGCAAGGACTAGGCATTAAGAGGGAAAGCCACTCCCTACTGTCCAGTCCAAATAGTTGACTTTTTATAGGGAGTTGCATGGGATGGAGAACTGAGGCCTGGTGGAACTGGATTCTTTGGCTTGAAACCAATCCCTGGACCCCGAAGGATATGACTTCTGTGCCAGAGAAGGAGTATACACCCAAATCCAGCCTTCCCATCCACAGCTAAACCAGTCTGATGATTCCAGACCTAGGAAAGACTCCAAAGCCTTTAAAATGACTAGGCACATTACATGTAAATATGCTTTTTTCTTTATAAAAACAGACAAAGCACAGAAGAAAGTAACATTTATACAACATCTCTCTGTGTTCTCCATTAGAATGACAATGCTATGAGCTGCAAAGCCAGCATTAGACTGCAAAGCATTGACTGCTTCTATCTAAGATCTGTGTTCATAGTTCAACAGGAGGGATGCTATACTGTCGCAGGAACAGTCTGGTGAATGACCAGCATCATGCCGAACCTTTAAAAAATTATATTATATTTGCACAGGGAGGCTTCTTACTGGGAAGAAAACCACACTCTTAGCCTTTAAAATATAATACAATGTACGATACGTTTTAGAGAGTTTGTGTCTGGCTCTGCGTCCGTCCATGAGTCATTTTGTTCAAGAACACCCCCTAAATGGTAAGAGCTAGGATCACTAAATTTGGTACGCAGCTTCCTCTTACTATAACATAAAGCAAGGTCAGGGTTGGCTGTCCCAGGACTACAGGATGTGTGTGGAATTTGAAGAAGGGTGTGGTATTAGGGACAGTTATCCTCACAAATGACCACTGGAGGAGGGTAGGGAGGAAGCAAGTGCCCCAGACCAAGAGACCAGCCACACATTGTGCTGGGCAGTTCTCTCCACCCTGGGGAGCAGGTGTCCACCATACTATGCAGTCTCCGCTTTCTAGGGGAGCAGCACCATGCTGCGTGCGACCCATCGGCTGGCCCCAGGAAGCAACTGTCAATCATGCCACATGGCCCCAATGGCCAGGGCTGGCCTTGGGGAGAAGCCAGCCAATAGGGTGAGCTATGCGACCCCCTCAGGGTCACAGTTGGGAGAAGTCTGTGGGCAGCCTAAGCAGCCCTCACCAGCCCGGGCCAAAGCCAAATTAGAAATAGAATAGAATGCAAAATCAAGCCCAATTCCACCTGCATAGTCTGATGACTATATTAAGGAATAGTATATACTCGACTACACATAAAAAAGGGCTAATTCCATCCCAAGTGTCTAGTGATAATGTAAACTAGGAGAGTGAGTTTATGAATGTCACCAGCACAGAAGCAGAATCATCAATACAGAAACAACTCTGGAGTTATTTCTTTTTGGCACACATGTATCAATCGGTTTCCAGTATAGTTGTATTGCCAGGACACCCCACCTCACATTGTAGATGCAGAGTGTTCTACCCTCTCTAGCCTTTGGTTTATGAAGTACCCACTCTATGGAGCAAAATACAGGACTATGTAGCACTTTAAAGACTAACAAGATGGTTTATTAGATGATGAGCTTTCGTGGGCCAGACCCACTTCCTCAGATTCTGGCCCACGAAAGCTCATCATCTAATAAACCATCTTGTTAGTCTTTAAAGTGCTACATAGTCCTGTATTTTGCTTCAGCTACACCAGACTAACACGGCTACATTTCTATTACCACTCTATGGAGACTTTGAAGGTTTAAAGAGGGATTGTAGTAGATGCTGGGAACCTGATACCTACCACTGTCTTGCTCCTTTTGCAGCCAATTCTGACTGTCAGAAGGGAGTGGGTGTAAAATACTAACCAAGCCAGAATTCTCCAGTCATTTACACCAAAGTTAGACTCACTTTACACCAGTGAAAATAACTACAACAGGTACAAGACAGTGAAAAATCAAGCCCTCTGGGAAAAATCTACACAGGGAAAAATCTTTACTACTGCAGTTCTGAGCCAAGTTAGAAAAAATCAATAAAATTCCCCAAGTCGTGTCTGCTTTCATTCTTGGTACCATTGGTGTACCTATATCAGGAAAGTATAATGGATTTTTTCCTACCAGGCACAGACCTTCTATGTTTATAGTAAGGGATACAGAAAGAAACATTTTATATAAGGATTTCCACAGTTCTTTCTAGAATATGTCTGGACTGGGGATGTGAAAAATCCCAAGCTCGTGCTTCCAGGACCTAACAATTTTTCACCAAACAAAGAGCATTTCTGGTTAATCATGGTTTTTTGCACGCATAAATGACAAAACAAAAGGGAAGCTCAGTATCTGGAGGCTGATACCGACTTCAAGTGGCTACTGCAAAGTACATAATTTGTTACATTCATCCCCTTTGGCCAATATGTCACCCAGCAACTGATCTGCCAGCTTCAAGAAATATGGTATTTGGAAGCTCAAAACATGTTGACAATGTTGGCACAATGCAACTGGCACCACTAGTTTAGTAACAGAAAAGATGGTAATAAGGAACTGAATAGAAAATAAGGTACGTGGTAGAAAATAAGGGTTCTGTTCTACAATAAACACATATTCTCTAACAATGACTGAAGTACACACATTGAGTATTTTCATCTTCTGCTCTTATCTTTCTGTCATTTTTGTTTTGCACCATCTATACATTTCTGAATGGTTTGCTTTATAGTTTTACTTCGGTTTTGCGTGATGGATAAAAGGAAAAAAAGAAGTTGCAGAAAATTTCTGTTACCAGTCAGATGGCTCCCATCACTTTCACTGCATTTTGGCATACCTGATAAAGGTCATTTCTCATATTGATGATGTCGTCAAAATTAAATCCCCGCACCACTTCTAAGAGGTTTCTCACCAGCTCAGAATGAAGGTGGATAATTGCTAAGTGGAGGACACTGAAATTAAACCAAACAAAACCAAGTTCACTTTAGCTGCAAAAATTAAGCAATTTTCAGTAAGGCTCTGATTGAAATTCCCATTGACAACTGATGTTTTTTCATTTAGTTCTGACTCATTGGGATTCTAAGATCCAGATCCTCAAAGGTATGTAGATATCTAATTCCCATTGGCTTCAGTGGAAGCGAGGTGTTTAAATACCTGTCCTAGTGCACAAAATAGAGTAAAAAGATAAAGAATTCCCTTCCAATGAATAGTCTAGTTGTTAATTTTAATTCAAAATTACACAGAACCAATGGGAGGAATGTGACAGCAAGAGTTTAAATGTGACTCCTACTCCAAATTTCTTATTATTTATAACAAGCATTGGATCACACAAACCCTGATTTGCAAAGTGTTAAAAAGCCTGGAATTTTTTAGAAGCATAAAGCACATGAAAAGTTTCACACTTTCAGAATTTGTACACAGAATTTCCACAGGATTCTGCATAACTAAAGCAGATTTTCCCATGGGGATTTCCCCAACTTTGTCATTTTTTCTTGTCTTCATTTTCATAAAGAAGGTGACTAAGGACCCCAAGATACAAAATTAGCTGGAGATGCCACACCCAAGGGAAAACCCCTTTAAATATGTTAGTGACCACACAAGACAAGACCACTCAGATTATTATAACTCATTTTTCTACTTTCTTCCCAAGTCCCAGCTTTTGTATCACTACAGGCAGAATGTAACACCATCAAAAGAAGTACAATCCTATCACCTGAAGCCTAAAATACCTTAATAAGCCCCCCAATCATTTCAAATTCAGTTCAAAACTGTCCTCCTTGTTTTGAAACCCCGCCTGAACATGCTATGGTTTATTTCTGAACCTCTCTTCTGTTGCCGACTCTCAGGTTTTATCGTGTCTTTTGCAATATATATTTCTCACCCCCCTCAGCTCCTGCAGTCATCCTTATAAGGAGAAATCTGAGCATTAACTTAAAAAACACATGAAATTCTATCCCTCATGGTTATGGAGAAAAGCTTGAAACAGTAACTATAATGCACCCCAAAAGTTCAGATACCAGAAGATAGATGAAACAAACCCCAAACCCTAGATGTAATATTTGTAAGCCAATTTCATGATTTTTTCTTTTTTGAGGGAGACGGGGGACAACTGGCTTGTTAATTTTCAACATTTGATGTTGGCAATATTGTGCTACTTCTTCCCTATCTATCTCCCTTTGTCTAGCACTGGCCTCCTCCAACAGTCTCACCACTCTTAAAAAGTCTCACAAGGGGTAGCCCTGTTTATCTGTAACTTTATAATCAGTGAGTAGTCCTGGGGCACCTTGAAGACTAACAAAAATATACAGAGAATCATGAGCTTTTGTGGGCAAAACCCACTTCTTCAGATGACCTGGAGTATCATGAACTTCAGCTCATCTGAAGAAGGGGATTTTGCCCACGAAAGCTAATGATACTAAATATATTTTTGTTAGTCTTTAAGGTGCCACAGGACTACTTGTTGTTTTCACTCTTATACAAGAGATGCTGCTTCTGTAGCTCTTGACAAATGGAACAGAGTTCTTATTAACACCCCACCACATTGACAATCTACCTGTATCAATATCTCAACCGAAAATATACTGTTTTGCCTTTACCCTGCATTCCTTATTTTTCTTTCCTTCTCCTAATATTATTATTCTACCCTGTAAGTATATTTATCTCTGTAAAGACTTGTTAAATATATATTCCATGAAAAATTCATTAATTCCTTGAATGGCTTAATAAGGTGGGCAGCTTTAACAAGGTAACTCTTGGTCCTCTAGTGCGAAGCACAAGGTCACAAGGCTGCCAGATACTCACAATTTCCTGGGTATCAGGTGCAACTGTCTTTGTTGAAGTATTACTGAATTTATTAAATAAGCAGGTTTTTTTTATATCAATTGATTCAAAATCAAAATATATTTAAAAAAATTAGGGTCAATTACAGATACTTTCATCAGTTACATATTGTATTAAAAGGTGATCAGAACTGTTGACAGTAGATTTTAGTAGAAAAACTACAGGCAATGATCATAAGACTCTTAAGCTCTGCTTTGTAAAACAGTACTTGCAGGAAAGCTGGTAGCCACAATCCTCAAGAGTTTGCTACTGTATTTGGTATTTCTGAAGTCTGCATATGAAAGGAAAGAACTAAGTCTCAACAATCCAGAGAATGAAATCTACTATTTATCCCCATGATAGTTACAGCATGGACAGCAGTGTAAGCTTCCCCGCATTAGGTCACAGCCTTGATCCAGAAAGACTGTGTCTAGATAGTTTATTTTCCATAGATTGTTCGGTTCTTTGCCTCGGCTGAAACTGTCAATACGTTAACTGGACTAGACTGTCACTAACAATTCATTTCACAGAGAAAATTCATCACCCAAAGTTTCAACAATTTTATTGCTGATTCCTGCTCCTTCTTATTCCTGTTGTCTTCAAAGCAGATGTTGGAATGCTAAAAATTGGGCAAGCAAAGTGCTTTAAAATAACCATTGTGTCTAATAATAAAATGGCTATGAATTTGAAACACTTAATATTCCTTGCTTTTTCAGTAATATGAAATCCATTTCCACAGAAACTTCAACAAAAATAGCAACCTCCCACTAGGTTATCAACACATTTGATAGTGTGTGTATTAGTCATGTGTAATTTTTCATTCAGCAGCTAAAGCCTGTCAGCTCTGAATAGCTTTTATTGTATATTATGCTTCAATTTAGAGGAAATCAACTGATTGCAAAAGAAATACAAGACTATGTAGCACTTTAAAGACTAACAAGATGGTTTGTTAGATGATGAGCTTTTGTGGGCCAGACCCACTTCCTCAGATCAAATAGTGGAAGAAAATAGTCACAACCATATATACCAAAGGATACAATTAAAAAAATGAACACATATGAAAAGGACAAATCACATTTCAGAACAGAAGGGGGATGCCTGTGAGTTAATGATATTAGAGGTGGGGAAGGAGGGGGATGCGGTGGGGGGGAGGGGGAAGGAAGGTAAGTGTCTGTGAATTGATGATATTAGAGGTAGGGAGAGTGGGATGTTTGTGAGTTAATGGTATTAGAGGTGATAATTGGGGAAACTGTCTTGGTAATGGGTGAGATAGTTCAAATGTTTGTTAAGTCCTTGTTGGCAAGTGTCGAATTTTAACATGAATGACAGTTCAGAGGATTCCCTTTCAAGTGCAGATGTAAAAGGTCTTTGTAGCAGAATGCAGGTGGTCAAGTCATTGAGAGAGTGTCCTTTCTGGTTAAAATGGCAAGAAACTGTTTTTTCTTTGTGATCTTGTCTGATATCTGTTTTGTGGGCATTAATCCTTTGGCGAAGTGTCTGAGATGTTTGTCCAATGTACATAGCAGACGGACACTTTCGGCACATGATAGCATAGATTATATTTCTGGATGCGCAGGAATATGTGTTCTTGATCTTATAACTCACTTGGTTAGGCCCAATAATGGTGTCAGTAGAGTGAATATGAGTGAACACGGCTACATTTCTATCACTGATTGCAAAAGGACAGCCTAAGACCTCGATGGGATTTAAAACAAAGCCTTTGAAAAGTAGCAGTAGAAACATAGTAACTTCTTATTCAATAGATTTGTCCTTCACCTGTATTTTATTCTTTTTAGCTCTGAGGAGTCAAAGCAACTAAGGAGGACTGAACTGTATTCCTCTCTGGCTCACATAAGATCAAACAGGATTGCTAATAATTTCTGACTTCAGAGCCAGATTCTGTCGCCACTTACATCTGTGCCACCACTCTAGGCAAGGGGATTGTACAAGTATATGTGAGGGCAAACTGTAGGTCTATAGACCCATGGGAATAAACTAAGACTACTGTGCTTGCTGTCACTGAGGGACAATCAGGATGGAAACCCAGGACATCATTTCTACAGTCATTTTTCATTCTACAATGAACTGTACATTAAGTTCCACTTTAGTATACTAGGCTATGTTTACACTGCTGGCATTTGCCAACAGAGAGTATGCAAATGAAGTGCTCATTAGCATTTTGTCACGCTTCATTTGCATAACCTAGTCGAGCCGTTTTTGCGCAAGGGGTTTTTGTGCAAAAACAAGCAGAGTTGACGTTTCCTTTTTGCGCAAAAACCCCGGAGAGGCATAAGGATCTTGCGCAAAAAGGAAACGTCCACACTGCTTGTTTTTGTGCAAAATCCCCTTGTGCAAAAATGGCTTGAATACATTATGCAAATGAAGTGTGATAAAATGCTAATCAGCATACTCTCTACCGGCAAAAGCCGGCAGTGTAGACAAAGCCCTAGATTAAATGGAGCGTTGGGTGTTGCGCAGGTTCTCTGCACTGAGCTGAATTTCACTCTAAGTGCCCACGGTGAAGGATTGCACTCAAAAACAGTCCTTTGAGCCTTAGTGGTTTAAATCCAAGAATCTTAGGATGCTTTACAAACACGATTTCACTGTAATAACGAATACTGAGCTACATGAGTGTATTGTAATGAATGACATCCTTGGGGATGTAACAAGGGAAGACTAAAAAGGTGAGGTTAAGGACAAGTGGGGTTGTGAAGGTGAAAAATATTTTTCTGAAGAATAAACTCCTAGAGCAATGATCTATGACACACCCCGCAGTGCTGATGACAAAAAGGAGCTGATCACATTGCTAAGAAAACAGGGACAGAAAAGTACAAATCAAGAAACCCAGGCCTCGACCAGTAGTGACTTACTTGTCACCATTATCATCCTGGACGGCAGTAAGATGTCGCTGAACAGCAAGTAGCATCTTCACATCACCAGTTACAGCATAGTCAAAAAGAGCATTGGCGTGGCGCTTAGCAAGTTGCATTGCCTTCTCTAGGAACAGTTCATCTGCAACACAAATCATCGAGTTTAATGTAGTTACAAATGATCTCAGTGAAATGTCCTGACATAACACAACAGGTGTGGGGCTTGTAACAGGCTGGCAATGTTTTTCTGAAGCACTTCACACCATTCAGCAGGGATCCTGCCTGGGAAATGTCAAGTATATACTGTGAAGATGGTTTATTAGGTCATTAGCTTTCATGGGCCAGACCCACTTCCTTAGATCAAACAGTGGAAGAAAATTATCACAACCATATATACCAAAGGATACAATTAAAAAAATGAACACATATGAAAAGGACAAATCATATTTCAGAAGGGGGGGGAGAGGTAAATGTCTGTGAGCTAACGATATTAGAGGTGATAATTGGGGAAGCTATCTTTGTAATGGGTAAGATATACATGGCCCCACAGTATGCTAATATCTTTATGACTGACCTAGAACAACGTTTCCTCAACTCCCGTCCCCTTTTATCCCTTCTCTACTTATGCTACATCGATGACATCTTTATGACCTGGATGCATGGCCAAGAAACACTGGAGACATTCCACAGAGACTTTAACAACCTACACCCCACCATCAATCTCAGCCTGGACCATTCTACATGAGAGATCCATTTCCTGGACACCACAGTACAAATTACCAATGGAAAATTAGACACCACTCTCTACAGAAAACCCACTGACTCATACAGTTACCTTCATGCTTCCAGCTCCCATCCAGAACACACCATACGATCCATCATCTATAGCCAAGCCCTTTGATACAACCGCATCTGCTCTAATCCCACTGACAGAGACCAGAAACTTCAGGATCTCTACCAAGCATTTATAAATCTCAACTACCCACCCGGAGAAATAAAAAAGCAAATTGAAAGAGCCAGACGAATACCTAGAAACCATCTACAGGCAGTCCCCAAGTTACGCGGATCCGACTTATGTCGGATCCGCAGTTACGAACAGGGCCCGTCTCCCTGGTCTCCAGCAGACCAGGGAGAGGAAGCAAAGCAGCGGAGCACGCGGGCAGCAGGACAGCCACGGCGCGTCTGGGCTGTCCCGCTGCCCCCGGGCTCCGCGGCTTTGCTCCCGACGCCCGTGGGAAAG